CACCCAGGCCTGGAGTGCACGCTGGTGTGGCTCTGACCTCAACTGTCAGTCTCTGCCCTCCATTGGCTCAGGTGACGCCTCCCACTCTACTCTGCCTTCCCAGTACTGGGACTACAGTCACCTACCACCTTGCCTGGCTAATTTTTGCATTTTTTTATAGAGATGGGATCTTGCCATGTTGCCCAGGCTGGTCTCGAACTCCTGAACTCAAGCAATCCCACCTGCCTCAGTCTCCCAAAGTGCTGGGCTTACAGGCATGAGCCATTGTCTGGCCAAAGCAAAATTTTCTTTGTGCTAACACTGCTGAGACCTTTCCCCACTTTATGATGTAACCAGATTCCACTGGAATGAGCCTTAAACTCAAACACTGTATGAGCAAAGATTAATATTTGTGAGACATGTGACCGGGATTACTCTATTCAGAAGCAATCTAGCACCAGCACCTCCGAAAACCAGGGCCCAAAATTGGTGGCTAATATTTGAGACTGCACAGGGAGGTGGGGAGGGATCGGAGGCTCACAAGGCTAGAGTTTTGCAAGAGGAAGCCACTGGAGAATTTTAAAAGGAAGATAGACATGAGATTTAAGTCTTGAAACGGTCACATCATCATAGCTTGTGTTGGGAACTTGGACAAGGGTGGAGATGCTAAGAAGGTAACATATGTGAGATTGAGAGGAAAAAGGGAGAACATGTAGTCTTCTCGCTTGTGCCTTTTTTTTTACGAAATCTCGCTATCACCAGGCTGGAGTGCAGTGGTGCGATCTCAGCTCACTACAACCTCCGCCTCCTGGGTTCAAGCGATTCTCCTGCCTAAACCTCCCGAGTAGCTGGGACTACATGCACCCACCTCCACACCCAGCTAGTTTTTGTCTTTTTAGTAGAGATGGGGTTTCACTGTGTTGGCCAGGATGGTCTCGATCTTTTGACCTTGTGATCCGCCCGCATCGGCCTCCCCAAGTGCTAGGATTACAGGTGTGAGCCACCGCGCCCGGCCTCGCTTGTTCCTTTGATGGGGGCCGCTAAGGTCTCTGAACTGAGGGATCCTGGGAGAGGACCAGGTTTCTAGTCAGACTGGGAAGAACTTCAGTTTTGGATACTTTGAGTTTTATAGGAGAGCTGTTGAGATATTCCAAGCTTTGGAAAAGAAAAGGAAAGCTGAAGCAAACAGAACATTATAGGCCCATGTGAAGACAGCCCAAATAGATGGGTGATTTTAAATTAATGTGAGAAAACTAATAGCTCATCTATATCCAAATAACAATGAGAAAATGCAACAAAAGGAATGATTCCATTCACAATAGTAACAAAAAATACCCAAAGAATCCACCCAAATAGAAACGTGCAAGACTTTTATGAAATACTTTAAAATCTCAGCTGGATGCAGTGGCTTGCATCTGTAATCCCAGCATTTTGGGAGACCGAGGCTGGTGGATTGCTTGAACCCAGGAATTTCAGACCAGCCTGGGCAACATACTGAAACCCCGTCTCTACAAAAAAATTATCCAAGTGTGCTGGTGTTTATCTGTGGTCCCAGCTCCTTGGGAGGCTGAGGTGGTGGGAGGCTCACGGAGCCTGGGAAGCTCGAGGCTGCAGTGAGCTGTGATCGCATCACTGCACTCCAGCCTGGGTGACAGAGACTCTGTCTCAAAAAAAGAAAAAAAAAACCCAACTCACTTACGGACATCAGAAAACTTAATAAAGGGATAAATATGCTACATTCAAGAATGAGAATACTCAATATTGTAAATAGGTAAAAAATTTCCTTATTCACTTGTGAAGTCATTGTTTAAAAACTTGCTCAGAATGATTCTAAATGTCAATGGGAAAAATAAGCACATGAGACTAGCCAGGCAAATGCTGGACAAACAGTAATGATGAGGTTTTGGGGCTGTGGATTTTCTATTTTACACATTTCCATATTTTCCAGTATGTATTACTTTTGTAAAATTAGAGTACCAAGAAATGAAACATCAGCAGGAGGTGGAATTAATAGTGATCTATCCACTAAAAAGACTGAGGTGGAAAGGAAGGATATAAAGATTACATTACTCCGAAGAAGAAATGTTACTATTGACTATACAGAAATAATACCAAGGAATACTGATTATCAAGGAATACTATGAACAAGTATATGCCAACAATTTGATAACATGGGTGAAATCAACAAACATCTACAAAGACACAAACTACGAAGGCTGAAGAAGAAATAGAAAAATCTGAATAGACTTATAAAAAGTGACGAGATCAACAAACTTCCAGAAATTCACAAACTACCAGGGCTGATTGAAGGAGAAATGGAAAAATCTGACTAGATTTATAAAAAGTAAAGAGATTGGATTAGTAATTTAAAACACTTCTCATAAAGAAGTGTCTAGAGGCCATCACTGATGAACTCTACCCAACATTAAAAAACAATTAACACCAATTCTTCACAAATTCTTCCAAAACAAAACAACACAAAAAGACGAGGAGGAGAAGGGAATATTTCTCAGCTCATTTTATGAGGCCAGTATCACTCTGATACCAAAACTACATAGCCTAGGAAGGAAAGGAAAATACAAACCAATGTCCCTTATGAATATAGAAGTGAAATTCCTCAACAAAATACTAGCAAACTGAATATAGCAACGTATTAAAAGGATTGTGTACCATGACCAAGTTGAGTTTATCTCACAATGCAGGGTTGGTTTAACAACTTAAAATCAATTAATGTCACACACTGTATCAATAGACAAAGGCCCAACTCCAAACCAGTATCTCCACACATGCAGAAAAAGCATTTGACAGAATCTAACACCACTTCGTGATGTCAAGTCATCCGCCTGCCTCGGCCTCCCAAAGTGTGCTGGGTGGTGTGTGCTTGTAATCCTAGCTACCACGGAGGCTGAGGCAAGAGGACTGCTTGAACCCAGGAGTTTGAGGCTGCAGTGAGCTAGGATCATGCCACTGCACTCCAGCCTGGGCAACAGAGCAAGACCCTGTCTCTTAAAAAAAAAGTATATTGATAAACCCATCTGAATATGTTTCCGATTGTTAGTTTAAACTGGGTATGGCGTTTCTTTTGGGGATGATAAAAATGTTCTAAAATTGCTTGTAATGATAGTTGTCCAACCCATGAGTATACTAAAAACCACTTTATTACATACTTTAAATGGGTGAATTGTGTGCTATATAACTTATATCTTGGCTGGGCATAGTGGCCTAGGCCTGTAATCCCAGCACTTTGGGAGGCGAAGGTGGGAGGATTGCTTGAGGCCAGGAGCTTGGGACCAAGCCTGGGCAACGTAGTGAGACTGTCTCTTTAAAAAAAAGAAGTTAGCTGGGTGTGGTGGTGTGCGCCTGTAGTCCCAGCAACTTGAGAGGCTGAGGCTGGAGGATCCCTAGAGCCCAGGGGTTTGAGGCTACAGGGAGCTATGACTGTGCCACTGCACTCCAGCCTGGGGTGATGGAGTGAGACCCTGTCTCTTTTATATATCTAGATATATAGAGATATAGATTATCTATATATATTATATATAGATATATATCTATATTATAGATATATAGATTATATATCTGTTTATCTTGATAAAGCTATATATAGCTTATCACTTATGACATTCACTTAGTTTTTATAAAACTAAGTGAAACTTGACAGAACAATATTATGTGAACACATTTTTGTAAAGTATAAGTTCTTAATAAAATATGCTTAAAATTGAGGACAATTTGTGAAGCAAAAGACAAAAGCACCTCAGTGTCTCCCTGACACAGTCACTTTCATTGTGTAGCAAGCAGGTCTGGTGACAAACTGTCTTAACAGTAATTGATACTACCTCATTACTCATTAATAAAATAATAGGAGGCTTAATTGCATTTTCTATACATCAATACTGTGCTTAGTTCTTTGTTTTGGAGACAAGAGTCTCGCTCTGTCGCCCAGGCTGGAGTGCAGTGGTGCAATCTTGGCTCACTGCAGCCTCTGCCTCCCGGGTTCAAGTGATTCTCCTGCCTCAGCCACTGGAGTAGCTGGGATTACAGACATGTACCACCATGCCCAGCTAATTTTTGTATTTTAGTAGAGACAGGGTTTCTCATGTTGGCCAGGCTGGTCTTGAACTCCTGACCTCAGGTGATCTGCCCGCCTCAGCCTCCCAAAGTGCTGGGATTGCAGGCACGAGCTACCACGCCCAGCCTGTGCTAAGTTCTTAACATGCATTTTATCATATTTTGTTCACATCACCCTGATGATGGCCCCATATTCGTTTATTTACCACCTTCCCCTTGCTTACTATTTTCCAACATATCAAAGTTTACATTTACAAAGTTGTTTTATTTATCAGAATACAAAAAATGCATAGCTTCTTCTGTCATTAGCAGTACCTATAAGGATAAATACTTCAGGTCTTAATTTGAAATTGGTTTTTATGTGATCGTATGCAGTATAAGAGAATATTGGTAGGCTGGGTGCAGTGGCTGAAGCCTGTAAACCCAGCACTCTGGGAGACCAAGGTGGGAGGACCACTTGAGGCCAGGAGTTCAGGACTAGCCTGGGCAACATAGTAAGACCCTATCTCTACAAAAATAAGAAAATTTAGCCAGGTGTGGGGGCGTGTGCCTATAATCCTAGCTACTGGGAGGGCTGAGGCAAGAGGATTGCTTGATCCCAGGCTGCAGTGAGCTATGATCATGCCACTGCACTCCAGCCTGGGGAACAGAGCAAGACCCTGTCTCTTTAAAAAAAAAAAAAACAAAAAGTATATTGATAACCCATCTGAATGTGTTTAAGATTTTTAGTTTAAACTAAAGCATTTTGTGTTTGTTATAGTTGATCTTCAGTTTGAGGAGAAAACACTTTTTAGATGGTTGTCCATTTTTTGTTTCATGTGATACTAGATTTGAAAGTCAAATCTTTGGCAAAGCTAATTTTTAGAGTCTTTTTGTTCTGGTGTAAATATAGATTAGCTATTATGGAAATCTTGTCTTTAGTGCTAACCTGAGTAATTTTTCTTTGTTTTTAGTGTTATGTGCCAAGAACCTTGCAAAGAAAGACTTCTTCAGTAAGTAAACACTTATTTTTTTCCCCTCTTATAATATTATGCATGTATTTCTGAAATTGTAAATTTTAAAAAAAGATTGAGTGTATTCTCTTTAAAGTTTGACCTTTACTTAATAGAAATCCATGGTTTTCCAAACTTTATTTCCCAGTTGACTACAACATGGGGGTTCCTTAGGTGAAAGACACAGAACTTATAAATCAAAACCCAAAACCTGTCTTTCATTTCCTGTTCTGGTCACACCCAGTTTTTTCTGCCTCTCTACCTATGAGAATATTGCTTTCTGCTGGATGATGTATTCTCAGCTCTAATACAAATGAAACACTTTTCTATAAAACAGCTGGATTTGCATAAAATTGTTAATCAGATTTTATAAATTAAATCACATTTACAGCATCCTGTAATTAAAGGAATTGCAAATATAGAGACTCTTTTTCTAAAGGAAGGAATCACTCCTTAAGAAAGTCACCTAGTATCTGGTCAGTGCCTGCAGCATTAAATTCTTCACACACTTTCTGATCCACACAGGACATCTTTCAGTTCTTGAGTAGTAGTATTCACGCTTTCAAGATGAAGAAACTTAGGCTCAAAGGCTTTCTCCAGGTAGCCAGGAAGCTCCAGCATGGTGGCTCGTGTCCATCTCTATCTCTGACAACTGTCCACTTTGCCATCTGTCTGATGTAATAAACCTGTCTGATTCATTCCCTAGCATTTAGGGACTTAACCGAATTAAGGCCTGGTGAATACTTGCTTCCATAGATAAGATAGGCAGAGATCACTAAACACATTTCGGGGCACTATTAATTTTTAGAAAGTCTAAATACAATTACTTTCAGACACTTTTCCCTCCACTTAATTAGCCCCAGTTTAATAGAAATTTGAATGTAAGCCTGTATTTTTTTAGTCACTTTCTTTTCTTCCCTTTAAAAATCTTGGAGGCATACTAGGTTCTCTCTTAGAAAGCTCAATAGACATAACTTATTTTGCTGATTGAAATTATCCTGAAATTAGAGAACAAAATGTACAATGGTAATCTTTACTGAATGAGATGATCCTGAAGCTCCCTTTAGCCTGAATTGTGTTCTGTGTCACATGGATGGATCTGAGGTCTCATCTAGGTGTGTGTCTCCTCTCTCCTCTAGGGCTCCCCGACCCTTTTGCAAAGATTGTCGTGGATGGGTCTGGGCAGTGCCACTCAACCGACACTGTGAAAAACACATTGGACCCAAAGTGGAACCAGCACTATGATCTGTGAGTTGAATGTTCTGCAATGATGTTACGTTGGCCTAATTTAGAATTTATTGTACTTGGAAGTTTTGCATTGCATTCTTCTTTTTTCTTTTTTCCTTTTTTTTTTTGAGGATTGGATCATTCTGCCTACCCAGGGCGGGAGGTGCCAGTGGCACGATCTCAGCTCACTGCAACCATCTGCCCTCCCGGTACAAGCGATTCCCTACCTTAGCCTCACAAGTAGCTGGGATTATGGACATACGCCACCATCCCAGTCAATATTTGTATTTTTTTAGTAGAGACGGGGTTTCACCATGTTGGCCAGTCTGGTCTGAACTCCTGACCTCACGTGATCTGCCCACCTTGGCCTCCATAGTGTTGGGATTACAGGCGTGAGCCACCGCGCCCGACTGCATTTGGGCTATTCATAGATTTTTTATGGTTTGGTTTCATACCTGTGATCCTCAAACTTTTCAATCTCCTGGCCATTTTTAGCAGGAAAAAAGGCTGTGTTTGTAAACTCCACTGCTACTGTTTTTCAGCAAAACCCTAAACCTAGTTGTAGTTTCTACCTAAAAAACGCATTTTTTTTTTTTTTTTTTGAGACGGGAGTTTTGCTTTGTCACCCAGGGTAGAGTGTGCAAGTGGCGTGATCTCAGCTCACTGTGACCTCCACCTCCTGGATTCAAGCGATTCTCCTGCCTCAGCCTCCTCGAGTAGCTGGGATTACAGGCACCTGCAACCATGCCTGAATAATTTTTATAGTTTTAGTAGAGACGGGGCTTCACCATCTTGGCCAGGCTGGTCTTGAACTCCTGACCTCATGATCCACCCGCCTCGGCTTCCCAAAGTGCTCGGATTACAGGCATGAGCCACTAGTGCTCTGCCTAAAAAATGCATTATTATGACTAGTATGTTTCTGTTGACTTTGGAAATTTTTGCTTTTAGTCACTATATATTTTTGCAACAGAAAATACAGTTTTATTTGATCAAAGCCATCCGACAAGTTTCTTATATTCATTTCAAAACTGGATTGTATTTTGAAGACCACTATTTTATTTTATTTTTTTATTTTAATTTAATTAATTTTTTTTTGAAAACAGAGTCCTCACTCTGTTGCCCAGGCTGGACGCTCCATTGGGTGCGCTGAATTCAGCTCACCG